ATGGCCGACGCTTGAAAACAGAGGAATGTTTTTACCAAAATAAAGGCACAAAGCGTCAGAAAAAGGGTTTGAATCTCGGGATCCCAGTTGGAATAGCTGAAAAACCTCAAAAACGTTCCTCCATTAGATACAAATATACGCTAAAATTGTCCTGTGAGGCGCACGGATGTATCAGCATGACAGGGCTTGGATCACCCTGGTCTACCTTGTCAAAAAACTCCCGACTTCGCTGACCACTAGATCGTTGAAATGCGATCGTGGAACCGCCACATAGTGTAAATAGTTCATTGGTCCAAGGGACCTTTCCCCGAGCATCGACTTCCTTGTTTACTTCGTGACATTGGCCAATCAGCCAGATGCAAAAAGTGACAGATTATTGTATGCGATAAATCATAATGATGGTTTGAAACACATACCCCATTTTACAGGCGCCAATTCGCAATAGCACTCTTAAAATAGCCCGGAAAATTTTGCAATGGTAAAGTATAGGAAGAATTTTCCGAGGGTCAAAGGTCGGGGAAAGGTCAAAAAAAGTTCAAAACAAAAATGCAGCAACAAGGAGAATACTAGAAAGAAAAAACAACAACAATTTAAGAAAACGACTCATAGGCCCATTTCGTGTCTAAAAAAATAGTTTCAGTGTATATTTTTAAAGAAGGTTAATAACTATGGTACTTGAAGACGAAAAATAAGGGAACATTTTGAAGTTTGAGTCGTCTGGTGAACTCGTAGCATTTCAATAAACACCGATAAACTATATAAAATTCTGCTCTAAAATTTCTGTGGTGCCCCTCTTTGCTTGGTGCCCTAAGCACGTGCTTATTACTTATCGATCCATTACTTATCGATCTTAAGATCGGTAAGTATGTTGATAGGTATTTGTCTGTTTGTTTGTTTGTCTGTTAGATACACGCGATAACTCACGAAAGCGAGGTTGAATCTGCTTCAAATTTTGAATGTGTATTCATCATATCTCGGATCAGGAGCCTATTGATTTTGGATGAATTATGTCGTATAATTAGCGAGTTATTAATTAATTAGTGATGAAGAGATCTGGATTTTTACAAAGCGAGGGGTTTTCGTGACGCGCTGAATGTGTGTGTGCGTGTCCGATGCGCATGTTTTCACGCTAGTGAGTCAGAGCGAAGAATACACACCGCTAGATCGTATCTCGTGATTAATCTTTGGGCATTGTCCATATCTCTCTTGTAACTTCGACGTCGTCGCGATGCGCAAGTTTCCTTCGAGAAATTTTCCACGCTATTGAGTCAGAGCGACACGCCGCGAGATCGTACTTCGTTACTTATAATTACTCTTTAAAGTTTAAGCAATGTCCATATCCTTCTATCACAGTGTTTCCCAACCCGAGTCCGCGGTCTCACATGAATCCGCAGAGCGTTTAAATGAGTCCGCAACGAGTCAGAAATTCACTGCGGGCCACAAACGTTTTTGCGAAACTTAATTAACTATCAGCCAAGTTAGGATTTGCGTTAGAATTTACAAAAAAACCCCATAAAAAGTCAGTTTATTCACATGACATTAATCGCGTCAATAATTACTGGTTACTGAGTAGGGCTGGGCATATATTCGAATATTCAACTACTAGAATAGCACATTTACTAATCGAAAATTTGGTAACACGTGACGCGACAGGTCACTTGCGAGTCGCTTAATCAAACGATTGGATTTCACAACTCACTTGTGGATTTCCGACGGAAACAAGAGTCTGTACACGCTTCGATAGATTCGTAATAGGTGTTTCTCGAAGTTCTCGAAGAAGGAGTTCGAACAACGAGGAATACATTATTTTTTTGGTAGGCGTAAATGGTGGCAACCCAAATTTTCTAAATTGAAAAGCGGCCCGCGACCGATTAAAAACGCTTTTTCAGACATTGCAAATCGCAAAATTTCAGGTGCTACCGTAGTACACGTACCAGGGCATTTTCCTTTAGGATTCTCTGCTTTAGTGCCTCCACATTAGTAATGTCGCACAGTAAGTACGCGCAGATAATTGCATAAACAAAATATAATCGGGCACTTTACCACGCATTTTTGCGTCCACTGATTGTCATGGTATTTTCTGAGTAGTATTGCTCTTATTTCGTCAACACAACCGCAGATTAAAAGAATCACACATGTGGATGGATTGAATATTTTATGCAACAGAAAAAATCATTGAAAAGTCGGCTCTTTTAACGAGTGACGTATACGCGACGATTACTTCAGAAGTTGTTCGCGAGAATTTCAAGGCGATAAATATGTATTTTCGATTTACTAATATATAATATACTATATTTTTAATAAATACTAAATTAAGTTGTACATTCTGGAAATTTATAGCAAATACTCCCAAATAGTATGATTTTTTCTAACAGCGATAACAAATTCACAAGATCGCAAAAAATATGTATCAAAGCTGAATATAATCAGGCAATATATTCTCTCATTATTATGTTCGCAGATGGAAGTGGAATTTTAAAAAAGTAATGCTTTCATTATCGCAACCGCGAGTTACCATGATGAACACAATTAAATTAAAATAGAAAGACATTTTAAATTATCGTCGTTGTCATGGATTGAATATTGTGCGATAGAAAAGTCCATTATACACCAAAAAATTCGGCTCTTTTAAAGAACGCGTAATTGCGGCGAATTTCCGATTTTGAAATTCGTTAAAATTCTGTTGTGTTTGGTTTTATTGCTTCTTTACACAGAGTACGGTTGCAATAAACGCACTTTAAGTCCGCAAAGGTTTTCGCTGGTGAGAAAATAGTCCGCGACTCACAAAGGTTGGGAAACGCTGTTCTATCAGGTTCGGGGTTGCAGAATTCCTCACCAAAATATCGCTGGGCTGTGTTTGAATAGCCGTCGCAACCCGGGTTAGTGCCGTTGTATTTGACACAAAATATAGGATTGGTAAATAGGCTATTGGCTGGGAACTAATCAAACAATCCAGCTCGGATTTGCAGAATTCTTCATAAAAGTATTTCTTCCCTCGAGTAGCATTTCGACGACGACATGGGAAGTTGGCTATTGTTTCTTACATTTTTGATATTGGCTGAAAACTATTCAAAACAATCCAGTTCGGGTTTGCAGAATTTTTTGAATCGAAACTGCAGTTTCTGTTTGGGGGAAACCCTAACTTTCGATCGATAAGTCTTCGGTCTCTGACCGATATTCTCGTATTGTTTATTGGTCAATCCGGCGCTGAATGCCACTTACTTTTACTTCGTCAGCGATTGAAAATGCTCTAATAAACAATGAACTAAGACAAAATATAGGCATAGAATTAGTAAACAAAATGAGTTAGCATTATTGTTGTGCCTATTTGATTTTTAGGCGTGCAGTCAAGTATATAGTCAATCTAATAAAACGTTGTTGTCACTCGAATCAGTGGATCAACTCGAGATGAACTTAATTTGTGAACTCGAGCCATGTCTGCGGAAGACTCGAACTCGTCCTACCACCAGAGAGATTTGATTTGCGACTCGAAGTTTTGTGTGAGACTTTGAAAAAGCAACGAAAGTAATACCAATCATTACGTATGAAAAAATATTCCAAAATTTACTAGTTTGTTGATGCCGACGTGAATGTTGTCATAGTCCTACATAAATACATCCTAGTCTTCAAGAATAATGCTGGTTTAACGCACAAGGAAACGAAATATCATCCACATTTATCATCATTCATTGTTGTATATGCGATCTATGTATGACTCAGACTCCACTTGTGACTTGGAAGTACAGTAACTGTGTGTGTTGCAAGAATAAAAATGAATGGTTACTAGGAATTTTGATATAGTTAACTAAATACTATTAGTACGTGACCAATACGCGTGTGATACAAGGTCAATTTTTACTCCATTTCCTGGTACGAAATCACTCTCCCTGCAATAATGCCGATAGAATAATTATCACTTGATTTGCGTGCACATGTGTTAAGTTATAGATGCATACTTGTTTTTATCCTACTCAGAATAATTCAATTTGATTGTGCAACTACAATGTATGGCTATTTTTTTAAACAGTGCAAAGAAATCGAAAACGCAGGATCCCTTATTTACCTGCACCCTTGATGTAAGTTCAACCTCGTTTAGCAGGAGGAGAAATATCTGTCTCGGGTTGTAATACCTCATTTATTTTGGATAAAAAATGGGTTTAACTATTAAAAAAAAATTTAATTAAAAAATGTCGTGCTGAGTTATGACGTCCCAGACATGGCGTCGCAAAGACACAAACTTCGATGACTTGCACTATAGCCCGACAAAGATTGGACGTCCGTGATCCTATTTTCTATGTTATTCAATAAACTAATGATTACGTATAAAATCAGTGCTATCGGCAACAACAATTATTTTTCTGATTGTTATCAACTCAGGGCGGGATTGGCCAATAGAGAAGGCAGGTGGGAGCCTGGGACTCTTAGGTCCTTACGAGCCTCGACATTCAATTTTAATCTATCTCTCATTTTAACCTGATTTTAAATGTTTAAGACATGTTCCAGATTTCAACCGGTTACTTTTTCAATGATGAAGTTTGTTTGATATTTTAATGAGGTAAATTGACGGTATATTTCTATTCCATGTAGTCCCGTTTTAAAGTAGTTAAAAATTCAAAACCTTCGAATAAATTAGTTAGTCTGAATTTGAAGAACTCTACAATTTTACATTAAAAATATAATTAAACCTTTTTTTTACCCAAATAATGCCTTTATTTTTTAAAAGATGAATTGGACTCAATTCAATTCACCTATGCATTCATATTACATTTTAGAGACATTGACATTTTGACGCCATTATAAATTATATATAAAGGCGTAACTGTGGAGAGCGGCCTCACGAATGGATTAGTCCAGAGCCCTTCATCGCCTAAATCTGTCCCTAAATTAACCCAAACTCTTTTTGCAAGCAAACTCCGAACTTAATATTTATGCAAAAATTAGTTTAATATTGTACGAAATATGAATGTCAGAATATAAAAAATGACTGCAAATCACTCACTGATCATAAATTCACTCAAGGTCACTTCAATTCATTTACAACAATTTTTTCCAAACGCGAAAGATGAACCTCTTTCACTTGAAAGTCAAAACGTATATAAGTACAGATTAAATTTTGTATCACTTAGTATATTCGGAAAGTTAAGTGTAGTCATGAATTATGCAATATTAATTTTAGTATTCTGCTGCACGCTTCAGGTATAGACAACATTCTATAGAAAAGTAATATTTTCTAACCAATTAGAATCGTCAAATGAACACTTAGAGATTTTGCATTCTGAAATGATATGCTAAAATGATGAATTACCAAAATCGAGCAAATTACCAAGGAAAGAATTTGCTGATAATAGACAAATGCAAGTAACTACACAGAGTTTATCGGATCAAAGCAATCAAGGAACTTTTTATAAGTAGCAACGGTGCCCGATACCACTTTGACGGTTCCCAACGTAACTTCGGTGTCCAGATCCAAGTCTTCTGCGGCAATTGATTTGAATGTGTCTGATGCGGTCGACAAATGTACCTGGAACTGGACGTTTGATGGAACTGGCTCCATAACGTCACAAACGCTGTTTCGAAGGGACACAGCATAACCCTTATTCAAATCCGTGAAGGACAACCCGACTGTGTAATTGTTATGCTGACAATGTAAGCCTCTGACTTTAGCACATAGCATGTCGAGCACTCTATACACCGGAGAATCGTTGATAACAAACGCCCGTGCTGCTTTTGTTCGTTGAATTGTGATGTTGTATTCAACTTCCATAGCATAAGTCAGATAATAGTTGCGTCCGTTGGCACTGATTTGTTCCACACCTATTGCCCTTAACGCACTAACTTTAATCTGACGTGCTACTTGGGTCAAATTAGCATCCAAGCTACCGATTTCCAAAACTACGTCTGCAAGTTCAAGAGCCCATTTGTCGTCACTCAATATATGTTTTCCAGTAAGAAGATAGTGATTATGCGAATTCATATGAGAAATTTGAGCCTCCTGGAGCATGACTTCCACTGCCGTGGTCTTTCTGGTCTGGCCGTATGCCACCAAACGAGCCATTCTCGAAGCACGATCTTTTTGGGTCATAGGATGTAAATCTTTCGGATCTCCGCTGAACCAGCCGATGTAATTGGCAAATACACCTTTTACTGACCATGGCACTGATCCATAGTGCTCTTGCAAATTTGGGTGTTTAGCTAGATTTTCGGGAAGCTTCACTTGTTCAACGATCTCACCAGGAAAATAACCTTTGTTCAACAGCCTGACCGTCTGATCATGAATGTATTTAATACCGTCCCTATACACCAACAAAGTATCATACACCGCATCCTTTCCTTCAACGGGTCTTGTGTGAGATCCAACCAAAAATTCACCTCCCAAAGCTCTCATATCATCTAGGCTTTGATACCATCTTTTGCTATTTCGAGCCGGACTCCCGCGAATGGCATACAAATTTGGGAAAGTTTTGTATATATTGTCGCCTGGAAACACTACTTTGGTGTCTGGTAGGAATATGGTAATTTGGTCATCAGTTTCCCCTGGCGTGTATATCAGTTCGAATTTGATGCCTATCAATAAAGTGAATATGCAATATTGTTATGAAAGACTTCATCTGGCTAATTTTATATCAAGTATATTGACGTAAAAATTATTATATATACGCAACAACAGGCAGGCATATTCCCCGGCACTTACCTGCTATGGTGTATGATGCACGATCGCTAAACGTAACCGTGGGGACTGGTATATAAAAAGCAGTTTCCGTATCTACTCTCAATTCAGGACCAAGTCCAGCCCCGGTACGAGCATCCGGATTTTTTGGTAAAATTGCTCCAAGTTGGCGCAGTCCACGTTTCAGTGCGATGTCGTATGTGTCCGCTGTTTAAATGCAAATAACCGAATTTATTGATATTACCAAGTAAAATGCTCAAAATTTGGTCATAAAATCAATATGTAATTTAATATGATAATAATTCATCATCGTTTCACTCTTGTATCATTTTGAAATTAAACTCAATGAAATGAATGAGTCCATTGTTGAATAGACTTTCAAAGAGAACTTTCCTTAGAATATTTTGAAGACTATTTTCTTTTTATTCGTTATATATATCTGTTAATGGGTATATTTAACAGTAGCCTTAGCAGCTTAAGTTATAATTAACAGCATGACAAGTAAAATTCTCAATATCTACGAAAACATAATTTCGATATATTTTTGGGGAGAAATAAAAGAGATCGGTAAATTATTCTGTTATGATTCAGTTATAGAATGTGGATATTGGTAAGGTAGGCACAGCAAAAAAATTATGAGCTGAAGGTCAAAGAATTCGATCTTTCTATGTTACTCAATACACGAGTCAGTCAAATCATCTCGCGCAAACCCGGCGAAGAATTTATATGCAGTAGCTATAGGTGTTGCATGTTGACAAGTTTCCACAGGGCATATACAGAAAATCGCCATGTTCTCGTCTTATATTAGGATTCTGTATAAACCATAGTACTCACGCTAATACTCTGAAAGCCTGGCCTGACAAAATGAAAAACTTACAGAAACCAAACATGAGTTGTTTTGTTAGTTCGTGCGTGTAAATTTCAATGGTAGTATTTGGAAAAACCTTCTTTTCTTCATTAATAATGAAACTTGTTCCAATAAGATGATCTGAACAAGTGATAAAAGAAAATAATACTGCGAATTTCAAGTATTGTTAGTAGTTTGTATGCTTGACATGATCTTGTGTGTTAATTATTAGTATTTCAATTGGTGCATAAAAGTAAATTGAATATCATTACAAATCGGGAGAAAGTACGAAGGCATAACGATTGAGCAGCGCTATTAGGCGACTTTTGGGCCGAATCTACAATGATATACGATTAATTCTGATTGCATTTATAAGTTATCGATGGAAAGGTGACACTTACAGAATGTTACTCCTCCCGCTCTTTTATGTACATTGAAGCAATTTTCTTTTCGGCGTAGATAGATCATATTATGTCAAGTTGTGAACGGGAAGTTTTTTTTTTAAAACGGTCAGTTTGGAATCATCTGATTTAATCAATACAGTGTATGGAATAAAATTATATTCTGAGGAATAAGGATTTGGTTAAACTTACCAGTGTGGAAGTGGGTAATCATGATGGCTAGGACAGGTTTGCTGGTAATTTTCCGGAATTCGACCATAATTTCTTTCATGCTCTGTGGTGCTTCAGTCGTGTCAATAATGATTATCCCATCGTCGCCTGAAAAGAAAATATTAAGAATATCAGATTCCAGTCATTGGTCGGCTCAATTGGTCGCTTATTCGACAAAGGTTACTAAACTTCATTCAAATAACATAAAATACCAGTAGTAAGTTTACCTTCAATCATAATGCTGTTTGACAAGGCCCACCCTATAGCAACATAGACATTGTCACTAACTTTCAAAACTTCACGAGTTAAGAACTCAGTCTTTGTGAATTCCACGAGTTTGCGTGATGATTCGGTTTCGTCAGTCGTTTTCGCAATTGGCTGGGACATATAGTCGAATGTATCTTCACCATTTCCATGGTGAAAACCGCCGTTACCGATTGTCACGCCAATGTAGCCTGTAACAGTGACTAACACAGTTGTCAGTCCTATCGTTAAATAAGTGTATTTGTTCACCATGATTTATGCTATGCAAAAACTATGGTTAGTTCAAATACTTCTCGAGTTGGTGCTAAGCGGAGCATTAGCAAAAGAATATGACTCTAGTGGAGCAGTTGTGTGCGCTTTTATATTTTTCAGACACGTGTGGAACATGGTAAATTCCTTCGCTATTGTATGTATTTATCAAATAACGGAAAAAAATAAAACCATCTTAAAATTGCTCCTGCAAAACATTTAAACCCTCGGCATTCGACATGTAGCGTCGGCAAACAAATTGGATGTTTCCATTCAATATACTCCTGTGCACCATGCATTATTATTTTTCATTGTCGTTTTGTTTTCGTAATTATATTTGTGCCATCATTATTATGCGCACAAAAAGTGCGTAAGTATTCGAACTTATTTTTGTATAGTGTAAGTCCAAGTAAATTTACGTTTTTTGTTAAAACGGTCACAAACATATGTGCCCAGGCACTTGAAAATAAAATTGTAAAAAAACTAATGAATATTAGTAAATCTACATTCTTTTCTAAAATTTACGTGAATACTAAATATCTATCTAATTATAAAATATTCTTCGGAAACTCCTTTTTTTCAAATATAAAACCATAATGCGTTAAACCATAATACCACTTCGAAATTATAAAATAGGGCACTAAAATAGCAATTTGTTATTTAGAGGTTTGACTCGTGGATGAAAATGTTTGCCTTAATAATATTTTACTTGCGAAATGAAATCCCATTCAAAAATGATGATCGCATTCCTGATAGTAGTTTAATATGAATTTGTCTCAAAAAAATATCTTACGTTTTTCACTAATACATCATCCATTCTGAAACATATTTGTAAGCATAACGGCAATCAAATATCAACGTATTTAAAAACAAAAACATAAGTAGCGTTGCAGCGTAGTCGAAATCGAAAGTTTCAAATGATGCTGTGAGCACTGTCGGTGCATTTTATAATTATGTTACATTCTTATTTCTCAAAGTTATGCCTACTTTACTGTTAAATAAAGTTCAATATTTTAGTAATATTGTCCCTTTCAAATGCATTCCATGGCAGCATAAATATTGTGACACGTAATAATCCTATCTGTTCTAAAGTACTTTTCGGTACTTGGCGAACAGTGCTGGAAAATGGAAATGAAATACAACAAAATATTTTTGTTTTTAGAATTGCTTATTTTGTTGTCCAAGTACGATAATACTAAATTAGGATTTATCATTTTATTTTGCGCAGCAATTTAGACTAAAACCCACTTGTAGATTTTTGGTTTTTGGACAGACACTTGCGAGATTTGACAATACGCTTTTTCTGCGGATTAGAACGTTAAAAGAGAGAAGTGGCGCCATAGATATAGGGCAATCAATACCACGCTTGTCCAATATAACGACAGAAAAAATCTACCAAGCCGCTGCGCTGATAAAAAAAAATTATTGTCGTATGTGGATATTCATTATCATTAGTATTTCCGTGAGGGGTGTGATTTAATTTCGATAGAAGTAACAATTATGATTTATATCGCTGAGTATATGCATGAAGGAAACATACACGAGAGTACAAATGCATATATATAATGCATATAATATATATATATATATAATCTAACTATCTTTATTGAGCATGGAATTAATTTAATTAGTTTAATGATCCGTTAAAACTTTCATCATTTTAGGTATTTTTAAAGACACGCTGATGTAATAACATACAAATATATTACATATATAGTGAAGATTTACGCTGGCCTAGTTTTTCAGTGTGGCAAATAGGAGAGAACGATATTTTTTAATGTACATTTTGCAAACGATGCAGATCTCGTGCAATATTTTGTAGCAACCAATACTATTAAACGGAACACCTAAATGGATTTTCAACCTATCTGAGCAAGTTTTAACTTGTACTTTACTTCACAATAACGGATAGTAATAAATATTCTTTATGATGTCAATAACAGATTCCATGATAAACACGCGACCTATATTGGAGATTGTAGCAAATAATGTTGTAATGCGACGATATATGTTAAAACTTATTTCTATAATATTTTTCATTTCATGATATCACGATCAGAAGCTTTTAGTGATATAAATAGCTTATGAGCTTATAAAATGTTTTCGCCCTCCTACCCAAATAACTATCAAAATCAACTATGTTATTTAGATTTCATTTCGTCTATCTGTGTGGCTGAACTTTTCACCTGCTTTTTTCGTATTGGATTAGAGTGAATATTGCTATGCCCGAATTCTAATATGCGAATCGAGTTTTCAGTATACATCCAAATTATAAAAAAAAAAAACATTACTAGTCGACTTGAATTAGACTTAAATGAAAGATGAGAACAGCAAACACGGAAGCCCGGATGTGATACTTTAGCTCTAATTTCTCATTGCAAAATAATTGCCCAACTCATAAGGGTTTTATGACCGAAAAGATTTCTCTGGTTTTGTGGAAATTCAAATTAAATCAGACTTTTATGAATGATTTGTTCCATTGTTTAAAGACAAGTGACGATTATTCATGTTTGCCTTAGGTGTGTGAGACAAGCTGATAAGGGGGTATAACCATACAGTGGAGAACTGGAATGTTGTTCTTAAATAAGTTATAAGAGTGAATTTTCGAAACTTATTTGCCAACATGCATTTGGATATGATATATTTATGTTCCTATATACCAATATTATAATACTCTGATAATTGACACCTAAATACGTATGAGACAATCATTTATCCAAGAGTTTTATGTATGTTAATTTTCTCATTTCAGTTGTTTTGTTTAATCAACTTTTTATTTGCTTTTAGTTGAGATCTCTAAATCTTGCATTGTATTGTACAAACTTGCATGAAGAAGTATTGTTGTAAGATGAAAATAATTCTTATTTTTGAAAAACATTCACTTTCTTAGTATTTCCCAAAAGAATTGTAATTTCTTGTGAAATAATTCTGTTAGTTGTTGAAAAGAAGCAAATTGTTGAAAGCCTAGAATCAAATATTAATCATTAATTCAATTGTTACTCCAGACTAATTATTTTATTATACAGGGTGGCCCAAAAGTAGGTATACAGTTATTAAACTATTTTATATGCTTTCAAGCTACTTGCAGTTCACTTTATGTTACTTGTTAAGTACCACAAAAATTGCTTATTTTTTTAGATAATAAATCTAGTGTGAATTTTACATTAGTTTTCTAGCTGCTTGGAAGGTAATAAAAAATAAATAAAATAACTGTATACCTACTTTTGGGCTATCCTGTATATATATACCGGCATTTGTAGTTCATATCACGATATATGTTTCTCTGGACATATAAAAGATGACGTCAACACCGACATTTTTTAGAGCAAGGCACATACAATTTCGTGCGTTATTGTAGAAACTTGAACGATTATGCGTGTATTTTAACGAAGATAATGCGTGTTTTTGTTTGTGCCCCTCGTGTACAATATTTGTCAATTGTGCGCCAAGTTCAGTTCAGCCAAGTATTTTCGTTCGGGTTCGATTTATTATTGATAGAGGTAACAATTATGATTTATATAGCAAAGTGTGTGAATGACGCAAACATACATGTGCATACAAATGCATATTTATATATTTAATTATATCTAATCTAACTATCTATGTTGGGCATGAAATCAGTTTAATGATTTGTTAAGACTTTCGTCATTTTCGGTATTTTCGAAGACACGCTGATGTAATTTCTGTACACGGCGGATGATAAAAAATAAAGTATGGTAATGTAGTAATAGTTTAAAAAAAAACTAGAAATACATACAAATATATTACATCTATAGTGAAGATTCAGGATGGCGTAGTTTCTTACTGTGGGAAAAGTTAGAGATGTGTTAGAACGATATTTTTTACTGTAAAATTTGAGATGATGCAGAAATTGGATAATATCGGAAATTGATTTGTATTACGAATACCAGAGCAGAAAGTATATAAATTACCATTTAAAAAGTTAACTGAGCACCATTAAAAAGCACTTACACACAAAATTGCCCAGCAACCAAAGTATTTTTTGACAATGCAATGTGAATCCACATTCGTAAAACTACAATTTTTTATTTCCTAATTCTATTTCTCGAGTTAAATGAAGGGCTTATTATTGTCTAAATACCACACCTGTGTAGATTCTCAACTCTTTATAAGCTAAATATAAGCTATTACTGTGAATGTAAAATTTTCGTTTATTAAACACACTGCATTAGCGAAATCGTTACTTTTTACGATTGTCTGGACAGAACTATATAAATGACTATCAATTGTTTTATTATGACTATTTCTGTTGAGTTTTCATCTCATGCAATATTTATTATTGACGGGACACTTAAATGGATTGTTAACGTAGGGCAAGTTTTAACTTGTACTTTACTTCACAATAAAAGACAATTGTAAAATAAATTCTTTATTATGTCGATTACAGGTTCCCGATAAACACACGAAGTATATTGGGCAGCAAATAACGTTGTAATGCGCCGATGTATATTAAAACATATTTCTATAATATTTTTCATTTCATGATATCACGTTCGGAAGCTTTTAGCGATATAAATAGGTTATGAGATTATAAAATGTTTCAATTCGCCCACCTACCCAAATAATCATCAAAATCAGCTATGTTATTTAGATTTCATTTTGTCTATCTGTGTTGCTGAACTTTTCACCTGCTTTTTCCATATCGAATTGGAATGAATATTTCTATGCCCGAATTCTAATACCGGTATGTGAATCGAGATTTTAGTATACATCCTACTTAAAAAAAAACAAAATATTGACCCGAATTAGACTTAAAAAATGAAAGATGAGAAAAGCAAGCACGACAGTGATACCTCAGCTCTAATGTCTCATTGCAAAAATAATTGCCTACCTCATAAGGGTTTATAACCGAAAAGATTTCTCTGGTTTTGTGGAAATTCAAATTAAATCGGAATTTTATGAATGATTTGTTTCACTGTTCACTGTTTAGACAAGTGACGATTATTCATGTTTGCTTTAGGTGTGTGAGACAAGCTGATGAG